TATAAAATTTTAATATCAAAGACCTTAAACTAAAAATCTCATAAATTAATTGGATTGATTTTTTCAAAGGGATAATTCAGTTTTGGTTTTAAAAAAATTAAGAACAATTTATTATGATTCATTGACAGATTGAAACATGAAAGGACTAAATAAAATTGAACCGAACCAAACCAAATCATTTTTATTAACTTTGTTTGGCGCATATATATTTTTTTGCCTTTAGTAAATTTGATTGAAAAAATATTTTTTCACAAATATTTTACTTCTTAAACGTATTTAAATTAAGTAAATTTTAAAATAATAATTAAAATATAAAAAAATACTATAAATAAATAAATAACATGAAAAATATAAAGCACAACTTTCATTTTATAATATATAAAAATGTTAACTGTTATCTTTAACTCGTCCATCTTTATTTTTTCTTCATATATTATAATATAAAAAAGTAGACTATTAGTAATCAATTAAAAAAAATAAAACAATATATGAATATAATATAATATATTTATCTATGGAAAAGAGAGATTTTACAATTGTGAGAAACAAAAGATAAAACAGAATTAAAAAAAAAATTAAAGAAAGAATGAAAGAAAAGAGTACATACAGAAATGAATAAAACTGAATGAGAGGGATGAGTGAGACACATTTATTAAACATTATATGCGTACGTTTTTATTTTTTTCAGTTTGATTCTTAACTTTTTTTTTTTTAATTTTTAAATCGGACTAAATTTTTGTACACAAATCAGACCAAATTGAACTAGGTAAATTCTATTGTTGATCACTCCTATACACTTTAATTAAGAAATTAAGGGATCAATCTTTACCAACGTGAAAGATTAATTATTATTTTTTTCATATTGTAACGAGTTTATTTCCTCTCATTTATGTGTTAATTAATTACGATTGTACAATTTAATTTTTCTCATATTTGTAAATTGGCTATGCTATGGACCAAGAATCCAACTACAAAAAAATAATAAGAAAAAAGTTTGTGATTCCTATTCAGTTGCAGTACAGAACTTACAATATAAATGTTAAATTTGGACCACGCATTTTTTTATTTTCGTGCTATTTTTCAGTGGTTGGGTTCTTGATTTGTAGCATTTCACTTGGTAAATAATTTCCAATTAATTGACAAAGCAATGTGTAGGTAGGCGAGAAGCTAGGTTTCCAATTTTGACATAAGAAAAGGATAATCTAAAAATATGATTGCCTACATGTGTCTTTGTACAATGTAAATTAATATGTTAATTTTAAATTCTCGGTGGCTAAAATATGATAGGTATTAACTAAGAAATGAAAACAATCTTTAGTAAAACCTTAATTTTGTTTTTACTAGCAAGTCGATCTAAAAGTGATAATGGAGCTTTGCATATATATTTCAGATTTTGAATTGTCTAAGTTCTTTTTTTGGTTTAATAATAGCAAGAATTGAATTCGAGCTTGAAAATTCAAGCTTAGCTTGCATTGAATTAAAAAAGCAGACCTATTATATCATTTAATTTTTTTTATTATTTTCTATTATTAAATTACATGGTAAGATATTATTTAATCAATTTCTTCATCGTTGTGTCCAAATAAGAAAATAAATCATAAATATCCATGTAAGAGATGATATAAAATGTTGATAAAAAATTGGAGATATTTACGTTTCTCGTTAAAAAAATAATTAATCACTACAACAAATTAAGATTTTAAAGGCAAAAAATTAAAAATAAAATCAACTTCTAAGAATGAAATATCTTAGTTGCCAAAAAAATTATTATTGTCTTTTCAGTGACGAACTTTGTCATTTAGTAATGAATTACTATCTTAGGACCAAAATTATTATCTAAAAAAAGCAAACCTTTTGGCAAGTAATTTGTCGTTTATTATTGATGTTCAAGATTTTGTTGCTAAAAATCATTTTTTGACATTTTAGAATGATTTTTTCTTGACAACTCACATTACGAATGAAATTGTTGTCTTACAATTTTTTTATAATAAAATTTATTTTTAAAAATAAAAAAAATTTAATTTCTAAAATACTTATATATTTTAGTGAATATTATTCAAACTAAAAAACTTTACAAACTTCTATTATTCATTGATATAACATTTGTTATATTATTTAAGTGGATTCTGTTCAAATTTCAAAATTTTGTTAATATATTCTACATGAGGTAGTAAAATAACTTTGTAAAATAATTTGTATAAATTTTTCTTTAAAAAAAAATATATTGTTCAAACTTTTACTTTTTTATTTTGTTTATCTTATCTACGCATGCAATGTACGTACATTGTTGAATGCATTTGTTTTCTTCTGCCGTCAGCAATATTTAGTAAATAATATATAATCATTTTAACTTTAAAATAATAAAAATAAAACACCAAATAAATGTCTTGCTTCACTTGTTGCTGAAGATTCTCCCACGGATGACATGCCACGTAGAGACAAATTGTTTGTTAGCTTTTTAATTTTTTAATTATTTTAATTTGTGGCTAAAAAATTTAGTTTGGGATGAGTGTTTTTTTTTTAAATTTTTTTAACTTTTGTGATAGAAAAAATAAAATAATTATGGTTAGATATGAAATTTTGTCTTATTGATTTTTTAGTCTATTTTATCTTTTTGTGACTAAAGCCAAGTTTGGCATAATACAAAAAATCTAAAAAGTCAAAAAGTCACTATCCTATTTAAGTCACATCATCTCATTTAAATCACACAATCTCTCTACTATATCACTTCAAACCCAATCCATATTTTACGTTTTTTCGTAAAAAGTCAAAAAGTGCACTTATTTAGATCATCCCAAACAATCCCTAAAATAGCCAAAAAAAAAAAAAAAAAACCATGTCAAACATAGCCAACGTTAATTGCTAAAACATGTGAAAAATGAAGCTGTAAATTAATTATGATTTGCTATCTATTTACACGCGAAACAAACGTGGTCTAACCATATACTACCAATTTTTGACGTGAGAAAATAATGATATAAATTATGATTTCGAACAATGATATGCTTGTTTCTTGACGGCTAAACATGACACATAATACAAAATTAAAAAACAAGATTCTTTGTAAAATCTTGTTTTTATGAGTAATTTTATATATAATTTATATTTTTAAAAACAATAAAATAGATATTTATCTAACTATATATTGTGTAATATAAATCTTGACAAGTATGGTACACTAATTACTTATTTGAAAGCGAGGATTCAGGATATTTTTTACACTTGATCTACAATATTTATACTATCTCTTTATAATTTTTGTTTATTGTTCTTATCTATTTTCATGTATTATTGAATTTTGATTAGTTGTTTCCAATTTTTAACAAAACAAAAGCTTGTTCACTAAGTTATGTGTAAGCATTAATTATCCAATTTTTATGGGGGAAAATGCTGTAGGTCCCAAGTTTTTTATCAAATAAATAATTAAATATCTCACATAAGTGTAGGGTCCACAAAATTACGGACCTCATACCTATGTAAGACATTTGGTCATTTATTTAGTTTGATCTATTCATTTATTGACATGACCTCATGATGATTAATTATACAGCCACCACATTGTAACATGTGAGAAATTTAATACGGATAATCTTTTGGGAATTTTTTTTAGGGTATCTGATATTAAGATTTTATAATAGAAAGGACATCTAATATTTTTATATTGTCTAAGGCTTCTCAAATCGATTAAGAGAAAATTCGATCCCAAAAAAATTCTCTCCAGAGAAATTCTCTCCAAACAAAATAAATTCTCTCCAAACCAAAGAAATTTGCCTCATTATGTGCAAAGAATTACTCTGGGTTCAAACCAGAGAAATTTGCCACATTACGTATAGAGAATTTCTCATAATTCAAACCAGAAAAATTTAGAAAAAATTGAAGGTAAGGTTTGGTAGAGTTTTTTAAATATGATTTGAAAATAGAGTTGTATTTTGAGTTTGTGAACTTTGAAATTATGATTTGAGTGTGAAAAATTTGTTTGGTTATGAGTATTAAAAAGAGTTTGAATTGACTTTGGAAGTAGTTTTGAATTTTTGAAATTAGAAAAGTTATTTGATTCAAAAACTCACAACTAATAACCAAAAACACAATCCAAAATTCTATTCAAAATTCATATAAAAATTTTAAAAATTTCAAAAATATTTTTTATTTACAATATAAAAATAACAGGTGAGGAAAAAAAAAAAAAACCGAACACTGTTTCGGTCAACCGGCTGGAAGTCCGGGGGAATGTCTGGGAGGACGACTGGGTTAGCCAAATTTTCTCGCTTGGAAAGGAGTTTTCAAAAGTGAGTGCGGATTATAATTTGAAAGTTCAAAACAAATACCACACTCAAATCAGTGGGTAAAAATGTGTTCGGAACACAACCAAACACAGTCGAAGTTTCTTTAACTTTGTTCAAAGAAAATTGAAATTTGTTTAATTTTGTTCACAGTGAAGTTCGAAACATATACAAACCAACCGATGATAATCAATGACAAAATTTCGAAAGTGAGAGCAAAAATTAAGCCATTTTATTTCACAAATGTCTTGCCTCTTGAGCTTCTCTTTTATTTATTTATTTATTTTTTTAAATCGGAATAAATTTTTGTACACAAATCGGACCAAATTGAACTAGGTAAATTCTATAGTTGATCACTCCTATAAACTTTAATTAAGAAATTAGGGGATCAATCTTTACCAACATCAAAGATTAATTTTTCTTTTTTTCATATTGTACCGAGTTTATTTCCTCTCATTTATGTGTTAACTAATTATGATTGTACAATTTAATTTTTTTCATATTTGTAAATTGGCTATCCTACAGACCAAGAATCCAACTACAAAAAAATAATAAGAAAAAAGTTTGTGATTCCTATTTAGTTGTAGTACAGAACTTACAATACAAACGCCACACATTTTTTTATTTTCTTGCTATTTTTCAGTGGTTGGATTCTGAATTTTTTTTACTCATACACTTAGGTAGTGTTTCGTTCGTTGGAATACATTTAGACACGATTATGGTCAGTTTAGTATCACTTATAAATTAACTTATTTAGCTTATTTGATTAAAATAAGTCGAGTAATTTCAAATTATAACTTATTTTTTAAGCTTATTTAGACAGGATTTATTACTTGAATATTTTCAAGACTAATTTGCAGCCTCTACAGAATACTACTTACAGCCAGTTTGTTTTATCTACAAGACTAATTTGCACACAGATCATTTAGAACCATTGATTTCCTTGGCAATCTTCACACACATTGCCATAGGACAGTTTGTTTTAATTGCATTGGAGACAATGTGTCATCTACTAACAGCATATCCTTCCTGCAAAGCCATTTCACCAGCTGGAAATGTCACAAACACGAATTAGGATTACGCTGTTCCAAAGTATCTACGCTATGCCAAACTCAATTGGGATCCAATTTACACTAAATCACCCATATATGGAATCAAACCTAAATTTGCCATGGAAGCTCTGACTAATCCCGATTTAGTTATTTTATAAGGTTTTGGTAATAGCTGCCAAATAAGTGATATTCTTTGTTAACAGAATACTAGTTAACAGAATATTTTCACAGATTGGGACATAAATGTCAGATAAATGATGAAATCCTCTCTTCACCTACATTTGAAATCCTCCCATCTGAATTAAACCCATCTGAATATCCTCCTGCTTGTGATATTCCCGAAAACTATGGATTTGAAATGGATGATAGATATTTAGAGCCCGGAGACTTGGATAATGAAGATGATCCATGGAAGCCTTTGAATCCCTATGAACCCAGGAATTTGAGGGTAAAATCTTTTAAAAAAGGTTGTTCAAGCTTTTTGTTTCTTTGCTTACTTTTTTTTCCTTGCTTTTCTTGTGCTCTTAATCTTGTTCAAGTTCTTTATTCTGTTTCTGAGCAGTGAAATCTTTTAGAAGGCAGGGGATTAATTCCACTAAACGGATATCCATAACTATTCAGTTCCCTCTCGCAAGAATGCATGGTACCATTAGTTCAAAGTTCAGTGATATATGGGAAGCACGGCGTCATGCCTCAGAGAGACAACAAGAATCCCAATCTTCTTGAAAATATGAAAAGGTTGATTTGTTGATTGTTTAATATTGTCTCCTTAAACGGTCTAGTTTTTGTTAAATGATGCCTGATGTTTTATTTACAGTTGAGAAATTCACTTATTCATGGAGGACGTGAAACTTGTGAATCATTTTGTGATCCAAATGATGACAATGATTATGATAATGGAGGCTTTGATTTTGGTCCATTTGATTTTGACATGCCAGAGAATGCATACGAGTATGAAGAAGTACCTCTACAACCTGAAAAGGTTAGGCAGACCTCTAGTATATTCAGATATATTTACATCATGAAGCTGGCAATAACAAAATCGGCATTTATGTTGCATGCTTATTTGTTGATATTTATCTAGCACGATGATGGTGGTGTTTGTTTTGAAACTAATGAACATGAAGATCCAAGTTCTCAAGCCTGCCTAGAAGATCTTTGTCGATCTCACCTAGTAAGATTAGATTTCTCAAACATGTGATGTGATGAAAATTGATTGTTATATTGCATAATTTGTCTGCTACCTTTTGTTTGATTATTGTGAGAGAAATTTCTTATCTTTTCTGATTCTTGTTTATTTTCAAAAACATTTATACATAATTTACATCATTTTGTATTAGTTGACGACATTAATATTACCAAATGAATCGAGTTTGGACTTAATTGAATATATTGTTCCGCCTATTTTCTAAAACTTATGCTTTTGGGACAGTTGGTGATGCAATAATTTGATCTTTGTTCTTTTTTATCATCAATCTTTCAAGGTCTATGAGAGATCTCTGTCAGGTTTTGGTGCTAGCCCAAATGCATTTGCTGCTGCTCAGTTTGTGAGAGCTCAAAATGCTTCCAAGTGGCTATTTCATTCGACCATGCAAGGGTGGAGGGTCAATTATCCATAAAGTTGATATGTTAGTTTGGATCAGCTGCCAAGTAAGTTGATATGTTAAATCATTAAAGAAGGTAAAATGCTTCAAGTTTTGTGTCATGTTGGACTTCAAAGAGGATATAGCTTTTGAGAAGACATGCTTACTAAATTCAATTTGACTTGAATATGCTCTGTGCTACACTACAGTTACATATTTTCATCTTTATTTTAAATGAATTCAATTATTGTTTGATGATCTAGTGAAGTTATAAGAAAGGAAATTTGTTAATTATTGTTCCTAATCTTTTTCTTTTTTAAATGTTATTGTTCCTTAATTGTGGTTGGGTTGAATGAATTTTGTTTAAGTCATTGGATTGAATGTTTATAAACAAAAATTGATTGTTTTTAAAAAAAAAAACAAAACAAAAAAAAGAAAACAAAAAGAAAGAGATTTGGCGACTAAAAAATTGGTTGGCAAATTCTACACTTTTGCGACTAAAATCATTGGTCTGCAATTCCTTACCTTTTGGCGACTAAATTGTTAGTCGGCGATTCCTTGACTTTTGGTGACTAATCTATTTGGTCGTGGAATGTGACAATTGGCGACTAAGATATTTGGTCGGGAAAATATCACTTTTTGCGACCAAAGTGTTTTAGCAACAAAATGGATTAGTCGTAGTAATGATATATTGAGCGATCAAAAATTTAGTCGGCAAATCCAACTTTTCCCGACCAACAAAAATTTTGGTCGCAAATTATTTTTGCCGACCCTCAATTGGCGACTAAAGTAGCGACAAAAAAAATTGGTTGCGGATACTTTTAGAATTTCTTTGGACTTCCCGGAGAAATTCTCTCCAAACAAAATAAATTCTCTCCAAACTAAAGAAATTTGCCTCATTATGTGCAAAGAATTACTTTGGGTTCAAACCAGAGAAATTTGCTTCATTACGTATAGAGAATTTCTCAGAATTCAAACCAGAGAAGTCCAGAGAAAATTGAAAGTAGCGTTTGGTAGAGTTTTTGAAATATGATTTTAGAATAGAGTTGTATTTTGAGTTTGTAAACTTTGAAATTATGATTTGAGTGTGGAAAATTTGTTTGGTTAGGAGTATTAAAAAGAGTTTTGAATTGACTTTTGGAAGGAGTTTTGAATTTTTGAAATTAAAAAAGTTATTTGATTAAAAAACTTACAACTAATAACCAAACACACAACCCAAAATTCTATTCAAAACTCATATAAAAATTTAAAAAATTCTGAAAATATTTTTTATTTACAATATAAAAATAACAGGTGAGAAAAAAAAAAAAAAGCGAAACACTGTTTCGGTCAACCGGCCAGAAGTCCGGGGGAATGTTTGGGAGGACGATCAGGTTAGCCAAATTTTCCCGCTTGGAAAGGAGTTTTCAAAAGTGGGTGCGGATTATAATTTGAAAGCTTAAAACAAATACCACACTCAATTCAGTGAGTAAAAATGTGTTCGGAACACAACCAAACACAGTTGAAATTTTTTTAACTTTGTTCAAAGAAAATTGAAATTTGTCTAATTTTATTCACAGTGAAGTTCGAAACAAATACAAACCAACCAATGATAATCAATGACAAAATTTCGAAAGTGAGAGCAAAAATTAAGCCATTTTATTTCACAAATGTCTTGCCTCTCGAGCTTTTTTTTTTTTAAAAAATCGGAATAAATTTTTGTACACAAATCGAACCAAATTGAACTAGGTAAATTCTATAGTTGATCACTCCTATAAACTTTAATTAAGAAATTAGGGGATCAATCTTTACCAACATCAAAGATTAATTATTATTTTTTTTCATTGTACTGAGTTTATTTCCTCTCTTTTATGTGTTGATTAATTACGAATGTACCATTTAATTTTTCTCATATTTGTAAATTGTCTATGCTACTGACGAAGAATCCAACTACAAAAAAATAATAAGAAAAAAGTTTGTAATTCGTATTTAGTTGCAGTACAGAACTTACAATACAAATGCCACACATTTTTCTATTTTCTTGCTATTTTTCAGTTGTTGGATTCTTGATTTGTAGCATTTTTCTTGGTAAATAATTTCCAATTAATGGACAAAGCAATGTGTAGGTAGGCGAGAAGCTAGGTTTCCAATTTTGACATAAGTAAAGGATGATCTAAAAATAGGATTGCCTACATATGTCTTTGTACAATGTAAATTAATATGTTAATTTTAAATCTTCGGTGGTAAAAATATGATAGGTACTTCGTAACTAATAAATGAAAACAATCTTTATTAACCCTTAATTTTGTTTTACTAGCAAGTTGATCTAAAAGTGATAATGGAGCTTTACATATATATTTCAGATTTTGAGTGATCGAAGTCCTTTTTTTGGTTTAATAATAGCAAGAATTGAATTCGAGTTTGAAAATTAAAGCTCAGCTTGCATTGAATCAAAAAAGCAGACCTATTATATCATTTAATTTTTTTTTTATTTTGTATTATTAAATTACATGGTAAGATATTATTTAATCAATTTCTTCATCATTGTGTCCAAATAAGGAAATAAATCATAAGTATCCATGTAAGAGATGATATATGTTGATAAAAAATTGGGGATATATACATTTCTCGTTAAAAAATGTTTAATCACTACAACAAATTAAGATTTTAAAGGCAAACAATTAAAAATAAAATCAACTTTTAAGAATGAAATATCTTAGTTGCCAAAAAAATTATTGTTGTCTTTTCAGTAACGAACTTTGTCATTCAGTAATTGAAAAACTTAAGTGATTCATGATTAGATCAAGATTTAATTATATAAGTTTCCAAACAATTAAAACTAACAATCTAAATCATCAAACATATACGAACGTGATTTAGATTGTTGTTTCAAAAAATAATAAATTGACACAAACAACTTTTACGTGGAAAAATAACAGTTGGAGCACCTTCAATTGTGATAAAAAAACCACGGGCGAAACGCTACAAATCAATCCACTACTGAAGAAAGAAAGATTACAAAGATACCAAACAAATTACCCAAACGCTGCCTATTTGTCTTCAAATCTTCTATATATCTTGCATCGTAACTTTCGTCTTGGAATTAATTAGATTGATATTGAATCCACAATATCCATTGTCGAATCAGCGACTGCACACAGCATCAAACTCCTTTAATTACTCTGTGCTTGAATCTTTGGAATCCACCGAAGAAGAATACTCTTAAAGAAGATCAATCAAACTCCTTGATGTGTGCTTATAAGAACATGAGTTCAATACTCAATCAAACATCAAGGAAAACCAGCAAACAAGCCCCAAAACAAAACCTTAGAGCTCCCAAAATAGATCTAGGAGTCTTAACCCTAAAAAAAAGACTTAAACACATATATATAGAAAACAGGGGCCGCACACCTCGCTCGAGCGCAGGACTTGCCGCTCCAGCGGAGTCACTAAAACGCGTGCGATTAAACATGTCTCTGTTCGAGCGCTGGAATCCACGCTCGAGCGCAAAAACACACTTCCCAGTATTTTTGCAGACAAGCCCAACTACTGAGACAGTGCAAACTCCGCTCGAGTGGGAAGACCAAAACAAAGGGAAAAATTACAACTTTATTAAAACGAGGTTATCCGCAGAATTGGCAACTAGGGACCTAACAATTTCCCCTTTTGTCAATTCCCAGACAAAACTTTTTTAACAATGTTTCCTAAAAACACACTCACTAACACAACCTAACGGACGCAAAAAACAATGCTATTTACACAAAAGCTATGTTGATCTGATAGAGAAAAACTTTGAACAATGTAGAACGATCCATCACAAAAACCATTTTACCATCTACCTGTGAAACAGCGAGCAACCTACCACCAAAAAAAAAAACAAAAAAACAAAACAAAACTGTGGAACTCCATAAGATGATAAAGACAACAAATGTCACGACCCCATTCCGCCCCTAGTAGAATGGTGCCGTGATGGCCAGTAATCCGAGATTACCAAAGGCCAACTTACCAAGTTCACACACAATCAGAGTATACATATGGGGCTTACATGTGCGGAAGCAATAAATTTAAATATAAATAGTCCATAAGAGCGGTGCATAGATCAAATGAAATGTCATATACTTTAACATGGTTTACAATTCGAGTACAACAAAAGTAAGCACATATTAAATCTTGATCAAAAGGCTTCTCAAGCCGACATATACAAAAGAGATATATTACAAGGTCAGAAGCATGATCTTCAAGATGCTACAAAATGCGAATCCAAAACAACTTGCAAATAATCAACTAGGCGTCACCGCCTTCTTGCTCGTCACCTACATATATATAGAGAGGGTGAGCTTGGATACTTAGTGAATGATATCAGAAATAAAGGTTTGCATGACTGATATTCAAGATCTTTGTCAAACAATACATAGCATATCTTGTACAAAATCAAAGGATAAACCAAGTTCATTTGTCAAATCTTTCAAAGCTTCAAGGGATGCTTACTAGCATCAATATAATACAAGGGATGACATTCCAGACAAA